AATATCAGTCACAGTCGGTCAGTCAGTTTTTCGTAACTCCACAATTTATATATATAGACGAAAAGTCAAGGTTCGGGAAGATATTTTTATATAAAAATATAAAAATTTAGGTAAATTAAATTGAAACTAAGAGTAAACATGGATAAATTTATCTATAAGCTGCAGTAGCTTGCAGATATTTAATAGAGCTGGATCTATATGCCATATCGTAATATGCTATATAGTATTTTTACAATTTTTCAGTATTCTCTCAAAAACTCTCGGCAACCATTGCCAGCTTTTACTGTACTTTATGCACATGGTTAGCCAGCTGTGGCTCATGCCATAATGTTAATGAATTTTAATTTTAAAATACCAATCTTTCACAATGCTCAACGGTCGACACCTGGACGCATATTTCAGAGCTCCGCCCCTTATTTGATTACACTTAAGCTGAATCAAGCTCACAATCAATCAGAAATACAAATACGAAATGCGAATTCTCGAAATGCGTGTACAATGAGGGCGAAAATCTGTCAAAAAGTGGTAAATGAAACTCTTCAGATGTCACTGAGCCATAAAATTATGCGATAATTAATTCCTCATAAAAAAAAAAAAAAAACGAACAGGAGAGCAACAGCAAATAGCGAAAGAGTGAGCCAGAGAGAGAGTGTGTGTGAGAGAGAGACAGACAAAAGGTAGATATAAGAAGAGCGGGTAGCGAGGCGTAAATTCTCAGTCGAGTGCATTGTTTGTGCGAGTCCTTAGCGCAGTTCGAACCCCGGTATGCTTCCGCAATTATGATTGTCCTTCGCCAGTCGCCTGGCCTGGATTCCTTATTTCGGGGCTCATTTGGCTGGGCATTTGAGCACATTTTTTCACATTTTTTCCACAATTTTTGTGTTTTTTTTGTTTTTTAATGCCTTTCTGTGGTCTTGTCTTTGGCTGGTCTTAATTAAAATGCTGTACAAATTGCAAGGGGTAAGGACTGGCGGAAGGGTAGGGCTAGTGGATATTTAAAGCATTGCTGACTACGAGTGCGAGTGCGACTGCGACAACCCCTAGCTAAAGGTTTTCATTTTTTTTTCTTCTTCCTCCTCATCTTCCTTTCTGTGCCTGGCTAAAACAAAGAGCACACAGATTTCAATTGTTTGTCGGGCATTGTTGAGCGTGTTTCGAGTATATCTGGAAGCATGCGACGAGTATAAGTTCCATTGTCCTGACAAAAATGAAAAGCGCATTGAATGCATGCAAAAGCTGACGGCGAAGCCGAAGCTGAAGCTGAAGCCGAGGCTGATGCTGCTGAAGTTGTAGCTGGGGCCGCAGGCATAGCAAAAGCCAAAGTGCTGAACCCAAAAGCTGAAGCACATGTGCTCTCTTTTAGCCAAGTACTTTGCCACCGACTTTTATGCGGGGGGCGGCTAATTTGCCGGCTATGGGGGCGCACTTCAGCTGACAAGCAGTTACTTTAACTTGAGCCAGCTTAAGACGAGCCGACCGGGTAGCAGGGCGGGGGAAGATAGCCTCAGGTGGCAGCACTTTGTCGCGCACTTTACTGTAA